TCCAACCCTGGCAACATCTTCAAATCTTTTCTGAATGCTTTCAAGTTTCACAACATCTTTTCTATAGGAGGGAGACTAGAATTGCAAGCCGTACTGCAAAAGTGGCTGAACCAATGTCCTGTACATCTTCAGTGTGACGTCCCAACTTCTATAAAGGCAAACGTACCGAATGCCGCCTTTGCTATCCTTTCTACCCGCAACTCTACTTTCAGGGAACTATGAAACTGCACTCCAAGGTCTCTGTTTAGCAATACTCCCCAGGACCTTGTATTAAGTGTATAAGTCCTGCCCTGATTTGCCTTTCCAAAATGCAGCACTACGTATTTAACTAAATTAAACTCCATCTGCCACTCATTGTCCCATCCGATCAAGACCCTGTCGTACTCGGAGGTAATCTTCTTTGCTGTCCACTACACCAGTTACCTCCGAGTACGACGGCATCTTGATCAGATAGGCCAATGGACCAAGGAGTGGCAGATGGAGTTTAATTTAGATAAACATGAGGTGCTGCATTTTGGAAAGACAAATCGGGTCAGGACTTAATGGTAAAGTCCTGCGGAGTGTTGCTGAATGAAGAGACCTTGGAGTGCAGGCTCATAGTTCTTTGAAAGTGGAGTTGCAGGTAGATAGGACAGTGAAGGCGGCATTTGGCATGGTAGCCTTTATTGATCAGTGCATTGAGTGTTGGGAGGTCATGTTGTGGCTGGTTCGGCCACTTTTGTCCAATTCAGATTTCCCTTCTATAGGAACGATATTGTGAAACTTGAAAGGGTTCACAAAAGATTTACGAGGATGTTACCACGGTTGGAGGCTTTGAGCTATAGGGTGAGGCTGAATAGGCTGGAGCGTAGGAGGCTGAGGGGTGTCCTTAGAGGTTTATAAAATCATGAGGAGCAGGGATAGGGTAAGTAAGCAAGATCTTTTCTCTGAGGTGGGGGAATCCAAAACTAGACAGGATAGGCTTAATATGAAAGGGGAAAGATGAAAGGAACCTAAGGGGCAGCTCTTTCACGCAGCAGGTGGTGCATGTATGGAATGAGCTGTCAGTGAAAGTGGTGGAGACTGGTACGATTATAACATTTAAAAGGCATCTGGATAGGTATATGAAGAGGAAGGGTTTAGAAGGAGGGTCTAGGCCCGAAACGTCAGCTTTCCTGCTCCTCTGATGCTGCTTGGCCTGCTGTGTTCATCCAGCTCTACACCTTGTTGTCTCAGGGTTTAGAAGGATATGGGCCAAATGCTGGCAAATGGGACTAGATTTATGTAAGATATCTGGTCAGCATGGACGAGTTGGACTGAAGGGTCTGTTTCTATGCTGTATACCTCAATGACATAGTCATACAGCAAAGGACAGACCTTCAGTCCAACCGATCCATGCCAGACATAATTCCAAATTGAACTGGTCTCACCTACCTGCTGCTGGCCTATATCCCTCCAGACCTTTTCTATTCATGTACTTATCCAAATGCCTTTTAAACATTGTAATTGTACCCACATCCCACACTTCCTCAGGAAGTTTATTCCACACGTGATCCACCCTCTGTGTGAAAAATTTGCCCCTCGTGTCTTTTTAAGTGTCTGTCCTCATTTTAAGTGTGCTCCCTCATCTTAAAATCCTCCATCCTAGAGAAAAGACACCTATTGTTAATCCTATCTATACCCCTCATTATTTTATAAACCTCTATAAAGTCACCTCTCGACCTCCTACCCTCCAGTGGACAAAGAAGTCCAAGCTATCCAGCTTTTCTTGAATAACTCAAATCTTCCATATGCGGCAACATCCTGGTTAATCTCTTTTGAACCCCCTCCAGCTTAATATCCTTCCTATAACTGGACGACCAGAACTGGTCACAGTACTCCAGAAGAGGCCTCACTAATGTTCTCTACAGCCACAACATGACTTCCCAACTCCTATACTCAAACAAAAAACTGGCTTATGAAGGCAATCTACCCTGGCTACATGTGACGCAAACTTCAAACTTGTGTACCTGAACTCGGGTCTTTCTGTTGTACAACACAATCCAAGGGCCTACCATTAATTGAATAGGTCCTACCCCTGTTTGTTGTAACAAAATGTGACAATTCTGCAGAGTCAAACTTTGGCTCCTTTCATTCTGTTGGGTATTAATACATGCTGGCTGTACCATTGACACCCTTACCCTGCTCTCTTTCCTTTCCCCAGCTTCCTGGAGAACATAACCAGGTTTGATTGGATTATAGTCTAAGTATCAGCGGCACACTCAATCCTCAATTTTAGATCCTGTTTTCACCATTGTATGTCTCTGGACAAAACGGAAGGTAGCCACAATGTGGCTGCAGTGCTCATGAGCACTGAGGAGGTTAGGTGGGTTATTTGGTGGTCACTATGAAGAAATTTATCTGGAGGGAGGAATGAGGGAGAAAATGGGTGTGGATTCCCAGATAGCAAACTTTCTGGTTATCAATGTGTTGGATCATGTGAATTTTCTCACTTGCTTTTCTCACTTGCTTTTCTCACTTGCTGTTTTCCAGTTGACGAAATTCAAAAACATGATTCCATTTGACCAGATGACCATTGAGGATCTGAATGAAGCTTTCCCTGAGACTAAACTGGACAAGGAGAAGTATCCCTTCTGGCCGCACAAGCCCATCAGTGAGCTGTAAATGTCCCCTGCTCCCCACTGTTTGTGCTTTCTACAGCTGTAACTATCTCTTGTAAAATAAAGCTCAAGTTCAGTGTTGAGTGAGTGCTCCCTTTGTTACTGGGTACTGTACAGCTAGTAACCTCTCTCTTCAAGCTAAATGAAGTACTTCTCTCTTGAATGTGCTGACCCACGCAATAGCACAGATCTGTAGGGATTGTATGTTCTCCATTATGTCATCCAACTGGCTATGTCTGTAGTCTAGATGAGAGTCAACAAGGTATTCTGTGCCAGGGTGCCACAGCTGATCACCTGATATATCCCAGTGAGCTCTGGAGAGTTAAGTGGGCATCCTAGTTGAGTTATCTCTCCTTCTGTCTGTTGTTAATTAATATCAACAGTTTCCTAGTCCAGTTTCAGTTAAAATAATGTTTAGACTTCTGCATTTGTGCCTTGTACTCTGAGAAATCCTTTCAAGGTGAAGAATTGTGTTTTGTTAGTATCATCTAAGATCAGTAATATAAGAGCAGATTATCTGGTCATTATCTGATTACTGTTCATGGGAGCATGTGCACAAAATGGCTGAACCTTTCCAACATCATCTGTGACACATCCAAAAGTGCTTTCAAAAATCCTGAGATAGTAGGAACCGCCAATGCTGGAGAATCTGAGATAACAATGTGTAGAGCTGGATGAACACAGCAGGCCAAGCATCATCATAGGAGCAGGAAGGCTGACGTTTCGGATCTAGGCCCGAAAAGTCAGCCTTCCTGCTCCTATCATGCTGCTTGGCCTGCTGTGTTCAAAAATCCTGAACTTAGAAAGGGCATGAAATAAATAGAACTATTGCTGACTGATTGCTGAAGCTTCTCATCTTGCAGAACAAATACAAGAATGCCAATTTTCAAACAGCCCTAATTCATACTATAGAAAAGGGTGCTAATTGTTTAGCAAGTTGTCTCTGAGACTGGATGCTGATAATTCTTTATTCCAGTGCAGTGGAATTACAACCTCCTCAATGTTAGGGACCAAAGGTAAATCCCTTCCCTGAGTCAGATCAGCTCACTCTGCAGAAGATGGAAGTTGAATTTAATTTGAACTTCACAGTTTGTCTTGCTTTTGCTTTTGCCCAGCCAGTTGATTCACTGGTGATGTCTTTGAACATTTGGAAAGGTAGTAACTGGTCTCATTTTATAAGGTTGTCTTGAGGTACAGGAAAAATATTCTTCTGGCTTAGAATGAAGTGTAAATGTTTTTCTGAATACAACTTATTCTCTGGCTTCCTTGCTGCAAAATTGTGGGGATGTTTGGTTATCCTCCACTTCAAATGGGTTGTGCTAGGAAAGAACGAAAAAGGGTGAGATTAATTCTGCCCAGTCAATAAAAAAAATGGTAGTGCCAAGGTAATACAGGTTAGTAACCAGTGAATGAGGTCAAATCCCAGAATAGGATTATAAGAATTGGAATTTAGGTAAAAATAACTGGAATTATAAAGCTTGTATCAGTAAAAGTGATTATGGTAGTTAGATTCTTCTAAAACCAAATTTTGGAAAGGAAATCTTGCCATTCTTATGTGACTTCATTGTCATCATTAATGTGGTTGATTCGCCTGGCTTCTGAAGTAGCATTGTAAACCAGCTAGTAATAGCACACATTGTATTTTGTCAGGGTAGGGGGAAGGTGGACATTAAATGCTGATAATGCCAGTGATACCCACCTCCTGAGAATGAATAAGACATAACTAATGTTGGGCAGACCAAAAGATATACCTTATTCCTGGGTTGATGTTAAAGGGTCCTAGGGATGACTTTGGAGACCAATTCTTCCAGCTCTTGGCTCATGTTTTCAAGTAGAAAGTAAGAATTAGAGAAGGCCCCCAAGGTGGTGGTTGTAGGGTCAGGAGTTGTGTCCCACTAGTGAATTTGGAGTAGAGGTTCTGTGGTTGAGTAATCACACCCGGATGTGACAGTGGAGGGGAAACTAACAAATGCTGTACTTAAGATGGGAGTATTGTACTGTGTTGGACCAGGGAGCTTTCACTTTTCCTTTAAATAGTGCCTTGCTTGAGGTAGGCCTGTTTTATGGAGTACTGAAGAGGGAGATTTGCTTTCTAATCTATTTGCTCTGGGAACTTTTAATTGGATATTGAATGTTTGGATTGGGAATTATTTCGTAATATCAAAGAGCTTTGAACCGGGGAGGCTTATCAAAATTTTTATACAGTTGAATCAGATTGTGCGCTCTTTCCTGAGTCCCACGTATGAAGCCATTGCCCTGTTGAGGTGTTTGAGAGGTGTGTTGGGGTGGAGCCTGGGGCCGGTGAGTGGCCCTTTAAGAAGCTGGGGCTCGGGGCTCGGGGCTGAGGGGGAGCCTGTCCCTTTAAGAGGGGCGGTGCCCGTGTCGCTCCGTTACCAGACATTTCTGTCCCTCAGCCCGGCGGAGAGATGGCGATCAATAAACCGGGGCAGCCCGGTAACCAGAGGTACCGGGAGGAGAGCACCAGTACTAAGAGGGTCTGCAACCGGGGTTTTTGGGGGAGGGGAAAGGACCGGTAACCGGGGGGTGTGATGCCCGGGGAAAGCCCGGTGGCGGAGGGTGCCCGGTAGCCGGGGGGGGGGGTGCTTGGGGGGGGGGGGGGAGCCCGGAACCCGGAGATACCCGGTACCCAGGAACGGGCAGCAAACCAGGTTCCGGCTGGGAGTTTTACTTTATTTGTTCCTTGTGTCTGTTACACACAATAGCTGTGTTTCTATTAACGGTTATTTGTTATCGACACTGATTGTATTTTATCAATTACACAGAAACGACACGGCCCGGGAGGAGGCCATTCGGCCTATCGTATCCTTGCCGGCGGTTGAAAGAGTCCACTTGTCCTGCCGTTTTCCCATCTCCCTGTGACTTTTCTCCCTTCAAATATTTATTCAATTTCCCTCTGAAAACTAAGGTCAAGTGATACTGGGTTCGCCCGCCTTCAACAAAAAACACTGGGTCTTCTTCCCAGTGGCCTGGCTAATGTTTATCTCTTCGTCAACATCGCCGAAAATAATAGTCCTGTCGCTATCCCATTCCTGTGCAGGCCAAGCAGCATTTCTGAAGAAGGGTCTAGGCCCGAAACGTCAGCTTTCCTGCTCCTCTGATGCTGCTTGGCCTGCTGAGTTCATCCAGCTCTACACCTTGTTATCTCAGATTCTCCAGCATCTGCAGTTCCTGCTATCTCTGAAACAGTTTTCCCACTGTTTACTGCACTTCTGAGTTGTATGTCACCAGCAAACTGAATTATTAACTCAATAGTCTGCTCACTCACTCACAGAATACATTGGACAGTAAGATCCAGCATAAGACAAACATTTAAATATGGATGTAAGTGATGCAATGCACACACGCTTTGAGGGAGTTGATGGTGCAGTAATTATATTACTGAGCTAATAATTCAGAAGACCAGGCTGCTATGCTGAGAACAGGGGTTTCAACCCTCTGCTCCGGAAGGTGTGATTTTAATTTAGTTTATAAATTTGGAATCAAACAGTTGGTCTAATGGTGACCATGAAATCTTGTGGATTTTTAAAAACCCAACTGGTTGATTAATGTCTTTTAAAGAAGATCTACCATCCTTATCTGATCTGACCTATTTGTGACTCCAGACCCCCGTAATGTGGCTGACTTTTAAATACCGTCTAAAATAGCCTGGCAAGCCACTCAATAACCTCAAAGGGTCACCCAGCATAGATGTTGACCCTGGAAATTATGGGCAAACTCATATTGTTGCAGCATGGTGACTCAGTGGGTGGCACTGCTGCCTCACAGCGCTAGGGACCTGGATTGGATTCCAGCCTGGGTAACAATCTTGTGGTTGGTTGGCTCACTGAGCTGGTTTGTTGTTTTTCCTCAGACGTTTCATTACCCTGCTGGGTAACATCGTCAGTACAGCCTCCGATGAAGCGCTGTTGTGTTTTCCCACCTGTTATTTAAACTCTGGAGTCTGTTGAGCTGAATTATCTCACTTCAGGTTTTCCTTCGCAGTGGAGTGTATGTGGGGTCGATCTCTATGTGTTTGTTGATGGCTTCTAGGAACTCCCGTGTTTGTCTCTGCTTTGCTTGTCCCAGTCGAATTGGTGGTTCTCCTTATCCATGTGGATAGAGATGAGTGAGGATTGGTAGTGTCTTTTTGCAGCCAATTGATGTTCATGTACCCTTGTTGTTAATTTCCTTCCTGTTTGTCTGATGTAGTGTTTGTCACAGTCTCTGCAGGGAATCTTGTATATGACATTGGTCCTGTCCATAGTGGGTAATGGGTGTTTGGTTCGGGTGAGCAGTTGTTGTAGGGTTGACTTGTGTTTGTGTGCTACTCTGATGCCCAGTGGTTGTAGGAGTCTTGTGGTCAGTTCAGATGTGTTCCTGATGTAAGGTAGACTGATGAGTGTGTTGGCAACCTAACACACAAAGTTGCATGAGGACACTATTTAAATAGTGGGCAACAACACACTGCAACAGCCGAGAAGAAGAAGAGCACCTCTTCCATGTATTCAAAGACAATGGATACCCGAAAAACTGGGTCAGAAGATGTGTTTTACACGAACGACACCAGGAAGAAGATACTGCACGCCCCGACACACTCATCGCACTCATCAATTGGCTGCAAAAAGACATGACCAATACCAATACCATTTTCTGATGAAGGGTCTAGGCCCGAAACGTCAGCCTTTCTGCTCGTATGATGCTGCTTAGCCTGCTGTGTTCATCCAGCCCTGCACCTTGTTGTCTCGGATTCTCCAGCATCTGCAGTTCCTATTATCTCTGATTCAATTTTAACCCCACTGCGAAGCCTCTTCTAAGGATACCTAGCCTGAAGAAGTTACCCTCCTCCCTCCGGACAAACCTCAGGGGATCTCTCTCCCACTGCAACTCTCTCGTAATCTCTTCGGCCTTGAAACTGCTCGACCATGTCCTGAAGCAAACCAGGTGCTACAGTCACATCACCTTTCTTAGTACCTGCCTACGAAACCAGACGGACTACAATCCACATTCAAGCCTTCCCAATTTGGCCCCAACCGTGACAATATCTACATTCATGACATTGAGATCTTTCAGAAGCGTTTCTCCCTGCGACTCCTGAAACACACACTTGCAGCAATGCGCCGGCATCTCCGGGCACTACAATCAAGCCTACCCCAGCTCAGAGCCTCCCTCTCCCAGACCTGCAAAGGACCTCTCCTGTTTTTTATTCTTGGTAGAATCCACAACCTGAACTCACAATTCTACTCAGCTTTATTGGACACTAAAAACCATAAGTACAGTAAACTTACTGGTGCCTACCACCCAAAACGGGCTTCCTCCACCCCCCAAATCCCCAGCCGTACCCAGGACCTTCCCCACAATGTGCCGGCCGCCATTGGCCATGAGGCCACTGTCGGAGAACCCACAGATGATGTCACATCTGCCACCGCTGGGTACCCCACTTCCGGGACAGCGAACACCATCGCTGCCGATGCCACCGCTTCCATTTCTGAGACCAACACCACAGACACTGAAGTCGCGCCTACCGTCACCGCTGCTGCCGCCGCCTACCCCGCTCCCCCCACTGCCGACGCCACTCCGCCCATCACCGATGCGGACGCAACTCCGCCCACAGCCGACGCAACTCCGCCCACAGCCTCCACAGCCAGCAGCTCCAGAGAAGACAGCAACACCCAGCCCTGCTGAGTCTTCACCATCCTCCCAGACCTACCCCTTTCTGAGGACTAATGGTCAGTCCTCAGTAAAGGGCTCACTTTTGTCCCCCTCCACCCACATCAACGAATACTGCTCACGTTTGGACATAGAGCAGTTTTTCCGCCGCCTCTGCCTCCACGCTTACTTCAACTGTGAACCTAACCCTCCCTCTACTGACCCCTTCTCCCACCTCCAACACGCTCCCTCCTCCTGGACACTACCCCAAGGCCTCCTACCCTCCCTCGACCTCTTCATCTCCAACTGCCGTCGAGACATCAATCGCCTCAACCTCTCCACCCCTCTCACCCACTGCAACCTCTCCCCCGCAGAACATGCAGCCCTCCGCTCCAATCCCAACCTCACCACAAAACCCGCGGACAAGGGAGGCGCAGTTGTAGAATGGCGCACTGACCTCTACATCGCTGAGGCCAGACGCCAACTCTCCGACACCACCTCCTACCGCCCCCTTGATCATGACCCCACCCCCGAGCACCAAACCATCATCTCCCAAACCATCCACAACCTCATCACCTCAGGTGACCTCCCACCCACGGCCTCCAACCTCATCGGTCCCCAACCCCGCGCCGGCCGCTTCTATCTCCTTCCCAAAATCCACAAACCTGAATGCCCTAATCGACCCAATGTCTCCGCCTGCTCCTGCCCACCGAACTTATCTCCAACTATCTGGACTCCATTTTCTCCCCCTTGGTCCAGGAACTCCCTACCTACGTCCGTGACACCACCCACACCCTCCATCTCCTCCAGAACTTCCAATTCCCTGGTTCCCAATACCTCATCTTTACCATGGACGTCCAGTCCCTCTACACCAGCATTCCCCATACAGATGGCCTAAAGGCCCTCCGCTTCTTCCTGTCCCGCAGGCCCGACCAGTCCCCCTCCACTGACACCCTCAGCCGCTTAGCCGAACTCATCCTCACTCTCAACAACTTCTCTTTCAATTCCTCCTACTTCCTACAGACAAAGGGGGTGGCCATGGTTACCCGCATGGGCCCAAGCTACGCCTGCCTCTTTCTAGGTTACGTGGAACAATCCCTCTTCCGTACCTACACTGGCCCTAAACCCCACCTCTTCCTCCGTTACATTGATGACTGTATCGGCGCCGCCTCGTGCTCCCACGAGGAGCTCGAACAGTTCATCCACTTCACCAACACCTTCCACCCCAACCTTAAGTTTACCTGGACCATCCCTAATACCGCTGTCTCCTTCCTGGACCTCTCTGTCTCCATCTCGGGCAACCACCTAGAAACCGATATCCATTTCAAGCCCACCGACTCCCACAGCTACCTAGAATACACCTCCTCCCACCCACCTTCCTGCAAAAATGCCATCCCCTATTCCCAATTCCTTCGCCTTCGCCGCATCTGCTCCCAGGATGAGGCATTCCACTCCCGTACATCTCAGTTGTCCTCGTTTTTCAAGGACCGTAACTTCCCCTCCTCGGTGGTCGAGAACGCCCTCAACCGTGTCTCCCACATCTCCCGCACCTCATCCCTCACACCCCGTCCACGCAATAAAAACCAAAAAAGAATCCCCCTCGTCCTCACGTACCACCCCACCAACCTCCGGATCCAACGCATCATCCTCCGACACTTCCGCCATCTGCAATCCGACCCCACCACCAAAGACATCTTTCCCTCCCCACCCTTATCTGCTTTCCGGAGGGACAACTCTCTCCGTGACTCCCTTGTCCGCTCCACACTCCCCTCCAGCTCCACCACACCCGGCACTTTTCCCTGCAACCGCAGGAAGTGC